CCTCCCTCCTCCCGTGGAGCTGTCTTCAACTTGGGCATCTCCTCATCCTCAGCCACCTCCAGCGCTGGGGGCTCCTCCTGCGGAGCTGCCTCGGGCATAGCTCTCCTCTTCCCTCTCCTCCTCCGTTTGAACCGGACCCTTTTTTTGGGAGACAACGGTGCCTTCCCCGCAGCTTTTTCCTTCTGCTCTTTAACGCAACCCAGCGAATTCCCCATCTCCTCCTTCTCCTCCTCCTCCTCCTGCTCAGTGCCGGCAGGGAGGCAGCTAAGCGAGTCGCCGGCTCCCAAATAAATCCCAAACCTGCCTTCATCGGATCAAACGCTCGACGCCGCGCAGCGTTCCGCGGCCTTCGCCTCCATCCCTCCCGCCAGCCCTGCCGCCACCGCCGTGGTTCCAGACAGCCATCTTACAGCCTGGGCGCTGCGAGAAGACAAATTCAAAGCATCTCACTGCAGTTCAGAAATCACTTGACCTAAAAGCAGAGGGAGCGGGGATTGGCTGCGCTTCTCTCCAAATATGAGGTAATTGGAGCACGGCCCTCGCCAACACAAACAGGGAGCAGGAATCAGGCAGCGGAGAGAGGAGGGGAGTGGGGAAAAGGGTGGGGAAAGGGGGGAGATCAAACACAAAAACCCAGGGAAGGTTGGTAAAGGTAAGGATAAAGGAAGGGGTGGGAGAGAAATGGGGAAAAAAAAAAAAGAAAGGGAAAAAAAAAAGCAGGGAGGAGTCAGAGTGACTCTGCACGCTCTCGCCAACCGGCTCCGCAGGGGTGTTTCTCTCCAGTTTGGGAAATTTGCTCCTTAATTCCGAGAGCCCCAAAAGATTAGCTCACGTGTGCACACCCTGTCCTGCCTGGCTCACCCAGCTCGGGGCTCAGAGGGGCAGTCCAAGGTGCCCTGGGCAGGTAGCATCGTTTTGGGGAGCTGCAGTCGTGGGGTCCCAAGAGGAACGGCAGAACTGATGCTCCCCATCCCAGTCCTGCCTCTATCCTGCAGCTCCTGCCCCAAACACTGCCCAGGGAAAGGGGTTTGAGGATCATGGAGCATCTCAAATCTGATCAGCTCAGAGGGTCCAGAGTAACAGGCACCAAAAGTGGGGGTGAGACAGAAAATGGGGAGTAGGGGTCAAAGACAGGAGGGCTGAGCTCAGATCCAGCGCGCAGGGAAACACTCCACGAGGAAACACTCCGCAAGACGCAACCCAGGAGATGACTAAGGGAAATCAGTGACCGCAAGAGCTCCCAGGGAAGCCTCCAGGGCTCGGGGGAAAGCTTCCAGGGCATGGGGGAAAGCTCCCAGGGCATGGGGAACAGCCCCCAGGGCATGGGG